AGATTTTTGGTGACCTAACTTAAAATGGTCAAAGTTTACATGGTCTTAGTTTTCCATTTTTATCTCGGCACTCAGTGCGAAGCAGAAGCTACATAAAACAGCGCTTGAAAGCGGAAGATCTATTCTTTCTAATAAAATTACGAGCAAGCAAATCCGTTGAAATCTGGCGAAGTTACGAATTTTTGAAAATGGAGGGACAGAACTTTCGGTTCAACCTAATATCATGAAAATGAGGAAATATCACTTTGATCTTCAAAACGATTTTAGGCATAGTTTGGTTGTGTTCGATAATAGCGTTTAATTTTCTTAAGCCTTCGTGGGAAGTAAAGTATTTTATTTGAGTATTTTATTTATTTTTTACCTTATTTGTTTATTTCTTTTATTTATTTATTCTAATTTTTTAATTTTATTCAAGTATTTTTTCTTATCAAAAGTTTATTGCTGACTTTGATCATCGCGTCATATTTCTTCTTACAAAGGATGTAGAACAAAACTATTGTCTCAGTTATCTTTTCTATGTCTTAAAAGAATTTTTGTAATATTCCACAAAGAGTACATCTTTGTCTTACAATAAAGAATAATGACTAAATAATTTCAAATTCCTAACTACTTATCGCAACTTGTAGACGTAATAATCCAAGATTTCGATGACGCACTTCTGCTAACGATTCAGATAGTTTTCCATCTAATCAGCCAAAAAAAATTTTCATGTCTTGGTTTTTTCTAGCTTTTTGCGACCCATTTTCGTGGCATTCCATTCTGACTGCAATGCAAAACATTTGCTGAAGCAAAGTCCATTCTGATCTTCTAGCTTCAGACTCGTTTTTCTATTGAAAAAAAGATGTCTACGAAATAAGTTCTTTGGGTTTTTTTTTTCTTGAAAAATTCTGTTTTCCTGTCAAGAGATGGAAGGGTTAGACGAAAAAACCAAAATTCTCTATAAGCAAAAAACTTCGTAAGCAATACTATAACAAAATGCAGCATTCTAGCTTTATTTTATTTTATTTTCATTTAATGCGCCCAGGCGTTCCATACAGAAAAAAAGCTTAAAAAATGTTAATCTTGCACTTATAAAAAAGACAGATTTTTCCACTTAGTGGAGAAAAAAGTTTTATGTAGATTTTTTTGTCTTGCATCTTATAATCCATTTCTTTTGCTCAGTTCCACCATTCAGTTAATAAATAGTAGATAAGTCGCTGTCGTAAGGCCGTAAATGACGCAAGGTCATAAAATTCTGTGTAGTAGTACTGCCTTAGAAAGAGGCCATCGTACTTTCACTCTAAACCAAAAATCTGAATTTTTTTCTCCTTGACTCCTTGACGTCATTCCTTGCCATGCTTTCTCTCAGTTGTTCAAAGATCACCTTCGAAAACACATGTCATGAGCACCGTCAACTCACTCGTTGGCGCAACCCTTGTTTACGGATCTTTGGAACAAGAATAGTACAGCCACCTGGAATATGCATTTGGAGGGCTAGTAGGGACTTTGAACTGAATAAACCATAGTCTGTATGCAGTTCATGCATAAAATATACATATAAAACTCGCTCAATACATTCGGGAACGAATCACTCGTATATGCTGCTACGGTTCGTTACAATTGACGACTATGTAGTGTTCAGGTTAGTTAGAAATGCTTATCTCTTACCTTTGGGGGTTACGGTAGGGTAAAGTTAGGCTAGCGAGAGTTCCATGTCTTCCCTATCTATATTACTTTTCGGTACTTTGCACCCAGTCAAAGATTTCCAATGAGGTACTTGCTTGAGTGTGAAAATTCTTGACACATTTCACGACAAGTCCGATTTTTCAATTACAGCCGTTTCGGACCAGAGCCTTCGTTGTTTTGTCAAACTTACGACCTACCCGTGGTTCGCATCTTCAGAAATTGCAGAACATTACGACCCACCGGTGGATCGTATTGTCGTGAACGTGTTAAAATATAGAAAACTCTTGAAAAGTTTACAAAAATCTCTTTTTAAACAACTTATGGCAAAGTTGAGCAAGACTTCTTATACTTTTGGTTACAAGTATGTGCATTTATAAGAAGACTGATGTAGATGCTTACTTCTAAATTCCCTATCCCTATATTTACAAAAACTTTGATTATCTAGAAGTGCTGATCAAGGAAAAGAGGTCGTCTTGGTTTCGCTTGATATTTGTTTACTAGACACCTTGTCGTGTCCAAAATATGATTCATTGATATCTAAAGTAAATAAACAAAGGGGCTTTTGAACCCGGAAAAAATCTGAATATGTTTTTGGCAGGATGACCACGGCTCGGGTTGGTATGGGTGAAACAATATCGAACAACTCTATAGCCTGTGTTAATTCGATGCAGCATTTTTAGATGAAATAGTGGGGACCAGTTTTCGTTTTGCATCCCACTTCACCGACACCGAAAACTCATCAGCGAAGGCGAACTGCAACACCAGCAATTTTTTCACATTATTGTGTGCATATTGTCGTGAGATTATAGACTTAATATGCCTGCGAAGCGTTCGCGTGTTTCTCGACGATGGCGCATTCCCGCGGCGTTGAAAATCGCATTAGAAAAACAGTTAGTGTATTCACACATTAAAGCCGCCGACCACACTAACTCGGCCTATGTTTGCTGGTTCGGCCGAGTTGTCATTGTTTCTGCTGTATCTACTGGTTCGTCATGTCTTCACGTCTTACAAAATCTTCCTCATCAGCTGTACTCACTGTTCGCGGGGGTGGTGGTCCGGACGAGAAATATGTCAACTTTGGGGGTGCCGCTGACGGGGGCCTACGTCGCACGACCAGTTTGAAACCGAACCGATCAGCAAATTTCAAGGATTTTAAAGCTTTCGAAGCTTTACTGAACAAATTCCGCCGGAAACACTCTCCTCATAAGGATGTCGATGAAGAACCCCTGCTTTCTACCGTAACCGAAGAGAATCCCCCGAAAAAGCGGTTACAAATTGGTGAAGGTGTGAAAGCACTGCTTGCGTCGTCACGAAGCGGACATAATCATACCCGTGACGGGGCTACCGTATCCCCGTTCAAAAAATTGAAACGAAGCTTAAGCGCTAGGCTTTTGGGTGGTGATCATAGCGCAAAACAACAGGAACGACGATATCGTTCCTTCATCGTCAAGGAACGACGAAGCGATAAATCAGGATCGCCGATGACGTCATCGCCGTAAGTTTTTTCTCTTCAATTTTTTACACGCCTTTCCTAGAAAGAAGCGTTTTTTATGTGAGTCGCCAGAATTTTTCATCTCAAAGAGCAATTCTGGAGATACTAGAGGGCGCCCCTTAAAGGGCAGAATGGGGTATCGACTCGCGGGTTATTAGTTCTTTTGTCACTTCATTTGCGTGCAAATGCTCCCTCGTATCATGTCACCCCAGTTTCGTACTTTGTTACCCAATCAACCGATAATCCCCTAACTATATACTATAGTTAGGTTTTATTGCCATTTGCTGTTCCTTTTATCAAACAGTCGCGTATCTGGTGATGGGGCCCCCCTTATCAGCTATAGCCCATATAAACAGTCAGTTAGCCTATGCGTTATGTCACTACATCGTTAGAAGTTTCGTGGGGAACTTTTGATAAGAAACATTTTTGCGTTCATTATTCCGAAATCTTTTTTTTCATAATTCCAAATGACTTTGATATTACTAAGAATCCGTCTGCCCCTTCCTGAACGTAGCTTTTATCTCTAAACCTTCTCTAACATTTCTTATAAAGGAAAATGGGCCTAAATTTTAGTTTAACTTTTTTTGAAAAACTATGAAAATATGCTATTACACGTTGTATATTTCCTTAAAATTTGTCCATATCTTTTTGCGGATGATATACATAGGCTCAAGTTTTACAAAATTTGTTACCAGTTTCTGACAACTGTGTTTTGTATATAGTTTTAAACCAATGTATCAAACCGACGCTGTGAATTTCTAAGCTGATTCTGGACGAATTTCTTCCAAAAATAGAACTAAAATCACCATTTTGCTTTTCCAGGCCATTTAACTCCCTTATCTCGTATTCGTTGCTGGCCAAAGTTTGGTGAATCGTGTGATTTCACTATCTTTCTTTTCAAAGTGACTTTGACTGGATGCCTTACAACACTGCTGCGATTCCAATTTTCATAATCCCCTAATTGGCTTTTTAGGATTACGGTAATTGTGATATGAAATCTCAATCTCAAATAGAGCCTCCAGGAATTGACTGGAGAAAATTTCCTAAACTTGCTGTATATGAAAAAATAAAGAGATCAATCACAATTATTGAGTTCATATTGGTGATTTGCTCAGTTTTTCAGAAACAGAAACAATGTTCCCAATTTCATGAAGTGAAACAATGCTAAAACTTCTCTAATGCGACATTCGAACTGTTTATCCCGTTCGGCCTCAATTAGATCGCAATGAAATAATTTTATCATAAAAAATAAGATTCATTCTGATTTCTAAAAATGATGATCGCACTAATGTTCTTGTTCTAATGTTTTTTCCTGACAAACACCTCCATTATCTTGACATGATCCTTCAATTTTTTCCAAAATTCTGTGCATGTGTCATTGCGGCCTTTGCTTGTTGAAATGATGGACTATCTGCTACTGTAATCTTAGACAGCTATAGGTAAGCTAATGGAGAATCCTCCTCAACCCCGACCACGACGCCCTCGATATTTGAAAGGTGTACAACTATCGATGTCCGAAGATGAAGGACCTGAAACAAGGATGAACTTGAGAAAGTTGGCAAATATCCAGAAATTTCTTTTTTTGTCAAGGCATTAAAATTTGCTCATTTTGATGATAAAAATCAGGTGACAAAAATCGATAACTCAGAAATCTCGTAATGGATGGGAATTCGTGATAATCTCCAATGATAAGCGGGTCGCCATTTTGTGACATACCGTACCGCAAGGAGACGCACATCAAAAACTGTTGAACTGCAAAACAATGGCACGCACTCCGCCCCCTTTCTTTAGAAAAATTAGGATGCGCCCCAGAAAGCTACAAAATATCTGTACTATGTTTCAGGACAATATCGTCCGATCATCTGTTACACGAACGGCTCGATAGTCCAGACTTTCCACCCGAAAGTCCGCCGGGCAGTGTGTCTAGTCATTCGTCAGGAGAGAAAAAGAAGTTAGTTTGGATTCATCTCAGCAAACTTCTAGAGCAAACAATAAAATTCACGTGTGAAAATTGTACGGTTATTTCCAAGTAAAGCGCGCTAGTATATCAACTACAGTAATCGATACTAGCAGCAGTTACTTCAGCAGCAGCGCGTATTGCGACGCGGGCGCGTTGTCAGTCATTACAAAAGCGTCTCTCTTCCATATCTTTGAGAAAAAGTGATGAGATTTAAAAATGATTATGCTGAAATTGTTTGAGACGACGCTTATCTGTTTCTGGTTTGTTGAAAAAAAGAAAACGCAACGCATAGGGCTTCAACGCGGCTGCGTTGCGGTGACTTTCCCATCGCTCTTAAACAATTCAAAAAGACTTCTTTCTTGTAAATCATTTCATAAAAAATCAGAAGGTTTGAAAATGGCTGCAATATTGCGGGTAGAAGCTCACCTTTTCTCGTATTGGTCTTTTTCTGTTCGTTTCTGCGAACGGGTAAAAAACGAAACCGCAACGTAGACGCGGTTGCTTCGCGGCTCTTTCCCATCTGAGATTTATTAGAACAAGGAAGCATCCTTTTCTGTATGTTATCTGGTGGAGAGAATTCGCAGCTCGAAGGTGTTATCATTACCGAAACATTGGTAAAGGGTTAACCTTCTTTTTTTTTGTTTTTTCTACTTTTTCTGCGACTGGATGAAGAACGGAAAACCGCAGCGCACGGAGGCTCAGCCGCAGCGCTGTGTCACTGCAGCTTAAACGGTTTTTTTTTTGGATTCAGTCACTCTTCAATTCTTTTTACTTAACTTTTGATTTACAAGCAAATATAATCAAATTAAGTAAAATAATTATTGTTTCAGTGACGACGTCAATACCCCTTCGCGTGCATCAGTGAAAAAGAAGAAATATTTCTCTGAAAAGCCGAATAAAAAAAATATCTTCAAGAAATTGCTACATCCATCATATCATCAGCGATCGGCTCAGTTTCATCGTCTCTTCGACGATAAAGTTGGCCCAGATCCGGACGAGTTTTTAGCTTGTGAGTGTGTTTCGTGCTTTGAACAAAAGCGAAGTGTCTCATCCATTTAGGTTAGGCTAGTAGGTGCAAAGCATTGGAATCCATTTCTAGTACATTTCATCTATTCTGAGACTAGGAGAATCAGAAACGCTTTGCACACATTGTGTAAACAAGCTTGAACTTGTTCTGTCTTGGTTCCAAGTGCTATAGGCTGCTGCATGACGAAGGCGCAATAATTTCGGGCGCGAACGCGGCTTTATTAGCCGCAGAGCGCATGAGGTGCGGGATCCACAACGGTGAGGATACGCGCGCGTCGCGTTCGCGCCCGCTCAGCTAATATCGCCATTGTGCCTTCGTCATGCAGCAGCCTTTACTTTTAAATCAGATAGAGCACAAGTTTGAACTTGTTAACCACAACTCAAACTTGTTTAGACAGTGTGGTGCAAAGCGTTATCAAGTCTCGTAGTCTCGCAGTATTTATAGACTTTTTTGTGTTTGCAACTTCTACGGTAATTACAGTATCTTTACCGTTTCAGCCTACTCATGCGCATATCAACGCGAAATCCTATGTCAAGGCAGGATGTACATCTCTCAACGACACATCTGTTTCTTTGCAAATATTTTTGGCTGGGAAACGAATCTCGTCGTACCGATATCTGAGATTAGGGCCATTACAAAAGAAAGAGCAGCAAAGATCTTCCCGAATTCCATACAGGTTTCTATAAACTAAGTTGTAATGGCCGTGTTCAAACTCGAACGTACTCGTTCCAGATCGAAATGAAGGATGAATCGAGGCACTTTTTTGCATCTTTTGTGAATCGTGAAAAAACGTTGACCGTTTTGCGGAAGGTTTTAGAGAAAGTGCAAAAGGGAGAGGTGAGTTCCACATCTGTGCATACTAATCAATTATCGATTGACTCCAGTCTTCAATTTTCAATGAAAAGATGACACGTTGCCTAAATAACGTCTCTAAATGACTTGATTCGTAAAACCTAAATCGATTGAATAACTGATAGAATTCGATAACCTTTGATTCAACTGGGTTGGCGGCTGGAAGCGGGGCTTCGTGTCTGAGTCAAACTAGAGAATGATCAGAGAGCACACGCGCGGCAGAGACGCGGACTGCGTCGCGGGCGCGAGCGAACTTGATCAGGTCACAAAGCCCCGCCCTCCAGCCTCTAATCCAGTTGAATCAAAGCGTATATTAGATCCCCTAGATTGCAGAAATCAAATATCGATTTTAGCACAATTTTCATAAATTATCCATGTAAAAGACGTTGCTACTCAATTGAACACTATAGGTGACTCTATTCGAGACATGCAGGGAAATTGGTAAATGACTGGAAATTAATATTGATTGTACCCTTTAAAGTCTGGAAATAATCAGTATATCGATTGATTTCAGCTGATGTCACCTGAAGAACTATGGGAGTACATGAATCCGGAAGTTGAAGATAAGGTATGTTTTAATTTTGATTACATACAATTTTTTGATAGGCCCTGAGATTTCGCGCGAATCTCTAATTTTCCAACTCTTCTCCTTTGCCCTTTCTCTTCCTTCTCCATCCCCTTTAAACTCTCAAGGCCTGCGGCTCAGCATCGATTCTCTGCTTTGGCTGCTGTAGCTAATGCACTTTTAGCAAGGTGCTCGCTCTAATGAGGTAATCGATAAATCGATTTATTCATTAGTTAGTGAGATGGTTTCTGTTGTATCGTGTTTGAAGCTATGAAAGTTTTGGATTATTTTGTGGGCTTTACAAGTGATGCGAAGCTAAAGTTCAGAACTTGAAAGACGAAGTATCTAATTTCGTGCGGCATTTTTCAGTTTTTTCTAAATGTTGAAAACTAGTGAAAGCATAAACTTAAGAATCGTACTATCAACCAGTACTGCTATAAAAAGTGTCTGGGGCTCACACTACTTTTAAGGGAGCATCCGCTTTTACTTTAATGAATTTGTTCAGATATGAATTAGTATTGAGGTTTTTTACCAAAAAAAGTCCTTCTTGATTTCTTAGACAAGGTAGAATGCTGAACACTAATTAGATCAAATTTTTGGTATTCAGTTTCTCCTGAAAGTTCTACAATTTCTGCTGATAAGTTCTCTCAAGAATATCTTCAAAAAATGTCTTAAAATAAAAAAAGAACTGGATACAAAACTAAGTAAAACAAATCTTACAAATCTCATTTCTGCTGAACCAGTGGTAAAACGATGTTCGCGAGATGAGGAGGAGAATTCAGAAAATTCTAGCTGAAGAAATCTCTAACCAAATGTCTAGTTATACAGTTTACTTTTCTTCCTATTGAGTTTTGCGTGTGTTTACTCAGTTGAAATCTCTTGTAACTTGAAATATTTTAACAAAAAAATTCTATCGAATCGCTTCAAGCATGCATAGAATTCTAGTTCCAATGCAGAAATTTTTTGTGGGTTTAGGAGCTATAGCAAGCTACAATTTAAAGCTAGTCTTGCTGCAAATTGAATGCTTCACTGACTAAAGCGGAAGTATCATGTGAGCCTGATTGCTTATTCGAGCACTTTAGCTGTCTAATCAGTAGCTGCTAGTCGAACCTGCTGCAACCCTGCTACTTTACTTCTATTCCTGTTTGCTCTACGGGACATTTTTCCTTCCCAAGAAATCACGGGAGTTCCCTTGCATTATTTATTTAGCAGCACTGGAAGGCAGGGTCAACTATGGGATTTGCGCTAGCAGCAGCGGTCTTTATTTACATTCTGATCAATCGGGCAACTTGGTTCCAGAATACTATGGGCATAGAACATTTGTGACAGTTTTTCGCTTCTTAATAAGAATCTTATTTGACGAGATTTTGGTGTAAATTGCGCGCATACAACTATACTTGCTAGCGCCAATGTCTCTAGATCCGCAAACTCTTAATATAGTCTAGCCTTTTCTTTTTTTTTCTATTTCCACCTTCCGTTGACAGCATTAGTGGGTCTAGACCTGATGTTTGCATAGCTTTGGTCTGGTTTCTCGAGCAGTGTTTCGAACGATAGATAGCACATTGATGTTTCGTCTCCGCTATTCATCGTACATTCCCGTCTTGAGCTACCCTGCGATTCAAATTTTTTACGACTACGAAAAATTTCACCCACAAGGCTAGAACCTTGGAACTAACATGACTATCACTAGCGTAATATCTTGGAACTGGATTGAATTTCGGTTCGAGAGGTTTCAGAACAGACCTAAGGACCCAAGAGGACCTAGAATGATAAGATCGATGTTAGACTAATATTACTATGAGTTCTCGATAAAATCATTGTGTAACAGATTTAATTATGCATTTTATATCTTTGTATCTTGCAAATACTTTATCTACCAAAAACATGTATTGCTTTTCACATCAATAGATGTTGATTTCATTCTGAAGTGCGCACAGTATTCTCAAATTTGCAGGATAGCTACTTGGATTTCAGAGGAACATCGCATGTGAGTTATTGAGACAACTAAATGTGTAATTTATCCTCCGTGGGTAATTTTTTTTGATTAGCTTATGGGATAAGGTAGCCACTATCAATAAAGTTTCAGGCGCATGTCTTTAGAATTTACTTATGAAATATTTTCAGGCATGAAAGCAATGAGTGCGTCATCTCGTTTCAGAAATTACTTTCAAAAAGCTGATAACTTCCATAACTTTCTAAAAACGTCATAACTGATCTAGGGAATCTAGGCGAATAATAATCAAATAATAACACCAATCAGTTCGTAATTGAATGATTTTCTGTCTCTATTGGTAAAATAAAAACACCCCTATATAGTAGCACAAGTCCTCAGATGTCGTATGTTCAATTTTTGATATTCTTTCTTTTGCACTTCTATACGAAGAAGGAGGGGGGAAGACTACTGCTTCCAATACTTTTCAGTTCGAAAGCAGTAGATGCTCAACTTCTTTTTCTTCCATCCTCTTATATTTCAGCCCTTACATCATGCTCTCTGTTTCTAATCCCTTCTCGGTTTGATTTCTAGAGCTTATAAAAACTTCGTCACTTCCGTCTTTGGCGTAAGTTTCCATAGTAACTCGTAAATAATGACGAAGCATGAGAATTTATGCTAATGCGTCTCATGTTGTGGTTTTCCACCTGCTAAAGAGCCTCATTTTGCGCATATCGCTTCTGTTCGCTGACGTCTACGCCTCCCTAATTGGGCTATTCCCTCCAACTCCTCCGAAGGTACATCAAGCCATTCTCCTCCCCCCCCCCCACCCACCCGTGGCTACAATTCTCATCCCGCCCTCTCATATTCAAATGGTGTCGTTCCAGGTGAGACGACGTGGCCGTTTGACTAAATCCAAATCCGAACAGTGCAGATCCAGAAATTCAAGGTGACTTCGTACTTTTGTGATTATGATTTCTGTATGTAAATACATGAAAGAAGATTTGGTGTCTGAAAGCTGGTTTATTCAAATGATTTGGACCCGACACTCTCTATTTACCAGCGGATTTGTCTGCTGTAGCGTTTGTTTTGTCGTTCACCGAAGTGGTTAAGTCAATCTCTACCTACCCCTTACCGAATCACCTTTCAGATACTCGTTCAAACTTGTGTAAATCAATCATACATACCGTAACCCTACCGTTACATTTTGCCATTTTTCTCCATGTTCGAACACTCGTTTAGACTTGTACAAGTCCAAACATACAGTAATCCTACCGTACTAACACAACCCAAATTCAGTGATTTGAATACACCCGACATGACACCGCCGTCCACTACTCGCACTGTTGGCGAAATTCCCTCTATAGCGGAAGCATCATCGCAATCGTCACTCGAACAGGTAACGAATCAATTTATCGATTTTTTTGCCAATTCCAGAGCATAACGTTCATTTCAGGAAGATGTCAATTGTCCATGCGATTCCCATAATGGGAAGCTACTCCTAGACAACGTCTATCCCCTTAGTGTCGACGAAATCTATGAGCTATTGTTTACCGATAGCCCATGGTTCAAGAAATTTAATGATTCGTTGAAAAATACTGGTAAGTATTATGGCACAATTTTTTAACAAAATTCTACATTGACAATCACAAAAAAACATACGGCTTCATTCTTGCATATCTTACTTTTGCAAACCTAACATACAGTTACAAAATAGATTTCGGTTGAAGTTTTGCACTGCTTAACAAATTACCTTACATTCTAATAATTAGAGACGCAGAGTTATTTGTAGAGTCAGACGACAGAGTGAACCGCATATTGAATAAATTTATTTCCCCTTTGAGTTATGCGTTTGAACGCAGCCCGAACTTACCATAAGCTTGTTTGGATGCGCATAAATTGTACCATTATGCAACTAATCGATAATCGAACGTCCATGTCCCCCATTTATGTATGAGTAATCAATCAATAATTGATATTACAGTGCATTCAAAAGTGTCTGAAAATGTCTCCGGTGAGTACATGTTGTAAAACTGTAGTGCTTCTTTTGGTTGGTTAATCAACAGCCCTTTCTTTAACCGGTAGAAAACGCTTCATTAACCGGATAATCGATATATCGATCGGTTTTAATCATCATTCTAACTTCCCGTCTGTATTGTATCCTAATGCATGCATAACGTAACCTTCATACATTTTCATAGAAGCTTGTAATGATAACTCAATTGTCGTCGATCAATATATCGTTATTGATTTATCGATTATAGGATATGTTGCCTCACCGTGGGCAACTGACAAAGACGGGATACGCTCTAGGACGTGCACATATACAATGGCGTTGAATCATGCCATGGCACCGAAAAGTTGTGTGGTCACAGAAAAACAGGTGTGATACAATAATTTCATCAAATACATCGATTCATTGTTTGCTTCCAGGTGATTTCCCATTTTGGACGTAATGGTGACGGCTTTGTTGTTAATAAAGAAACACAAAATGCAGGAGTACCGTATGCAAATGACTTTGTTGTGCAGGTTTGTCTCTTTTCCAAGTCTATGGAGCGGAGAGGGGGTGGGGGAGGAAGAGAAGGGGGAGAGAGGACGGCGGGGAAACAAATTTCATACTTGTAAAGGCTAGTCTCGGAGGAAGACTGGTGATACGTATGAGCGGGAGCGGGGCGGCAACCGAGCACGTAATCTTTGATTCAACATGCTTAGCGGCTGGATTAAGACCGCTCGCGCCCGCGACGCAGTCTGCGTCTCTCCCGCGCGCATGTCTCTGATCACTACCTAGCCTTGATTAGTTCACGAAGCCCCGCCTTTCAGCCGTCAAGCCAGTTGAATCAAAGGGTAGAATTGCTGGAGGACATGGGATATACACAGAAGCATAACCGCGCGCGCCGCGTCTGCATGCGTTCAACCCATCAGCCTCCATCCCGGACTAGCCTTTAGTTCGTCCAAATGGAAGATCTGCTTTGATTTTTAGTGCATATACTGTGTTTCGAAAATCAGCGACCATGAAGCGAGAATCAAAGTTCATGGTGGTATCGTGTACAAGAGAAATATTTGGAGTGTTGTAAAAGGTGGGCAATTCTTCTAATAAACGACACTAAGACGCATGTTAAAAAATTTCTTGAAATTATATCTCAGGCTATATCGAAAAAAGCACCTATCAGGGACTAGACGATCACTACACTGCATTAGAAAATACTCTACGAGATGAATGTGACCGTAAAGCGATGCAGTTGGAGACACGAGAACCTGCAATCGATAGGTCCGATGAAGAAAGGTAGGTTGCTTTGGTCAATTTTTGAACGCACAATAGTCCGGGTTTCAAAAAAAAATCCGCGAAAAAAGCGTTTTTTTGCTTTCGAGGACTGAATTAGAATACACAGCAATGATCAGAAATCTCATTTTAATCGTATTCGATGGATTAAAATAATTTGCACGTTAGAAGGATATAGTAAATGAAACAGGCGTTACCATAAACGTGCACAATTTTTCGCAGCTCTGATTATGTCGACATCGATTCTCTGACTAAGAGATACGAACGCGCTTTGCGTGCGTTTGATTAACAATTATGAGTGCTTTTTAATGCGTTTTGTTAAATTAGTACTAGGAATTTGTGAAAAAACATGTTGAGCTCGCGTGGTTTGACAAACTCGAGCTTGTTCCAAAAATTCCTGATAGTAAATGAAGTAAAGCGGGTTAGAACTCAGGCATGAAATTGTTGATCAGAGCTACGCAAAGCGTGCTCGAATCTCTTAGTCAGGAAATCCGATGCGATCAGTCAAGGCGGAAAAGAACACACTTCAAAGCAATGAAGACAAAACAGTTTAAAAAAAGAACCATCATGATCGTTTATTCTATCTTTACAAAACAAATTCACCCAAAAATATTATATACTGCATTTGCTTAAAGCATCCCTCATTCATTAGTAGATAAATGTCCCATAAATGTCCTTATCATGATTCCTTCCAAGATTCGTCATATGACATTGACGGGCAATTTCCCGTTCTGTCAACGAATTACTGCAAATTTTTTCTAATCAATTTACTGTTGTCATACATATCATTCTAATGACGCATTGCTATACCATTGGCAGCATTTCCAAGTAAGAGAGTTTTCTTCTCAAATCAGAAGGGCCGGGCCTATATCAAGCGAATTCATCGCCTAGCGATTCTGTCAACAAGACAATTCTTATAAATTGCATGCCGATCATTTTGCATTTCGGTGGTGTTAGTTTTCCGACACGACTAAACGCGACTAACTATCACAACCGAAATGCAAGATTATCGACATGCATTGCACTCGTAGCAGTTGTCTTGTTGAGAGGATCGCAAGGCGATGAAATCGCGTGGTGTATGCACGGCTCTAAAGGTTCTCCAACATTACAATTCACAATCTTCACTACATAATCAGGTTGGGTTTCCAAAATAGTCTAATATTTCGAAAATAATATCTTAAGTTGAAAGAAAGAGAGAAACCTTCCTTTCAGCGTCTTTCTCTAAACCTTTTATAGTCTTTCTTCGCTTTTTACCATATTGGTCTCCATTCTGGCCACTAAGTTGTTTGATCTTCGTAACATATTGATAACTTGAAAAATTGTTTCATACTGTTGTCAACGATTCCCATAAGGAGATAGTAAGTACAAGAAAAAAGCCTATAGACCATATAACTAGTATATGTTCAAAGTCCAATATCGTGGAAAAAATTAGCAACTGGTTTTAGTTTTGCTTTTCCACGTTTGCGCTCTGCACTCTACCAGTCACGCTATCTTTGATAATAACGCATACTTAAATTTTTTGTTGAGGATTCATTATTTGCAGAAGATTAACGCAGATTTTCAAATTATGCTCACTTGTTTTGGAGATTTTATGCCAATAATTGGAAATTCAGTGTGTCATCCGTAGAGGATCCAATCACGGAGGCTCCACGAATACGATCCCCAATTCGAGGAAGGATAGCTAGAAAAGGTGAGAAAATGTAGAAGATTTCATTTTGACATTAGGTCGCGGTTATAGAAAAAATCGAAAATCTATCTATTACGGTTATTTGTAGTACTGTTCATTTTTTCAAATCTATTCACAGCTCGCAAACATAATTTATTCATTAACAACACATTACGATGCAGATATCACCTCCTTAATCATATCCTCAACTCTTAAGCTCATCCTAGAAATTGCCTTTATCTCACATCCTTTGGTATGACTTGCTGGGCTCCTCTCCTGACAGTGACGTAAACCTTCTTTTCCATCTCAGCGCTTGTCTTCCTTGGCTTTTCCCCTGTAAAAATCAAGATTTTCTCAAAAATTTAAGACAAGCACTGACATCGTTAACTGCTGTAAAAAGGATGAGCCAGTCGAGGGATTTATCACATTGGCTGAATCTATATTTGAATAGGCCCCGTTGTTCTTGACACATTTGTGTTTAATCCACAATTAAAGCACTGGCTCGGAAAAATTGCAATGGCGAGCATTTCATTTCTTCTTGGTCCTCTGCATTCGCTGAGTCCAGAGCTGTGCTCGAAAAGTCAAAAAAGTGTTTTTGTGGAGTTTTCAGGCCTGATTGCTGAGAGGCTGAACGAACGATTCCCGTTAACTGAATCGCGATTGGCTATTAGAGGCGATCAGCCAATTGCCGCCAAAATGGGTGGAGTTACAGTCTCCTGCAGCCAATCGTTCCTTTTGGCGGGAATCCCTCCTCCAGTCTCAGCAAACTCCAAGACCGGAAAAGGCTGAAGCTTTTTTTTGACTTCTCAAGCACAGCCCGAACTCACCTCCAGAAAGTCATGTAGATGTGGAAAGCTTACATCGCAATTTTCCCGAGTCACTATCTTTGAACTATGCATAGAGTTGCTTTTCAGAGTTGCCTGCTCCGAAAATTACCTCAGCCCTACCGGTAACTGCAAGTGCTCCAGATTACGGATTTTACATAAGAATTATTATATGTAAGTTCTGAAGCCTTTTACCAACTATATCTCTCCGAATAATTCATTTTCAGGTTTACTGACTGGTCTACTGCTTCTGAATACTTTGTTACTGTTCCAACTCAACAATATCGAAAGTCAGCCTTTTAGCGAAGATATTGCCCAGCTGTTGCGGAGGTAAGACATTGTCAGCGGTATGCTACGAAGTTTTAACAGCTATTCTAGAGTAGCTGATCAAAGCAAGTCGAACGAGTATACGGCGGCTCTCGCCAACCTACTCGAAAAGGTCAATCAGCTGGCTAGCGAATTGCAGAAGTTGAAATACCAGATCTCGGAGAAGCAAGAGCTCTAGCTCTCTCATACTTCTACTCTATCACTTTTCACTTTTTCACGCATTGCCATTAATGAGAAGTTCTAGGCTTCCACACTTATCAAATTTTTTTGTACATAAGATTCACTCTTCACTTAGATTACGTGTAATATGGATAAGAGACTGACAGCAAGAAGTTGATTTATATAAGACTAATAATAGCAAGTGCATGTTTACAAGACTTCAGTCTCAAACTTCTTTTCTCTCAATATTCATATCGTTAATCTTTGTTTGTATAATAAGTTGTTATGAATTAAGGACATACGATTCATATTGTGAGATTTTTACCGGTATTTTAGTTAGTGATATAGATGTGCCTGTATATTAAATTATGTCATTTCAGTCGGAGACACTTCTCTCAATAAAACTATTCAATTATAGGTTGTTTGAAATATAAAAAGCTATCATGCATCTAAACGCACTTCACAGCAATGTCATTGAAGCTCGTCACTTGAAGAGTGTTTTTTTGGGCGATTCACCATGTATAGACTGTATCAACCAGCATCGGCCCCGCGCCAGTATGATTTGCGACGACGCACCGTCGCATGCGACGTGCCTTAAAGGCAGTACATCGACAGAATGAGACCCGTGACAAAACAAGGTCACAGGGTAGGAGCCCCCTTATGGAACCTATCGGCCAAAGTCCGATCTTTCTCTGCCACTTCTAACGCCCGAAATTTCAAAGCGAAAGCAGCGCTCATCTCCTCTCCTCTCCGAACCCGCCCACCCCATGGACGAGTGAACGCGAAGCCCGTCATGGCGAAGACGCAGAGTCGTTGCGCCTCATGCTCTGACCGCGGAAATCGCTCGTCTATGGGGTGGGCGGGTTCGGAGAAGAGAGGAGATGAGCGCTGCTTTCGCTTTGAAATTTCGGGGGTTAGAAGTGGCAGAGAAAGATCGGACTTTGGCCGACAGGTTCCATATGAGGGCTCCTACCCTGTGACCTTGTTTTGTCACGAGTCTCATTCTGCCGATGTACTGCCTTTAATGCGTAGCAGAGCTCGCACCGTCACACCATGGTCGCAAGTTGCCGCAGGCGCGACGTCGCGTGACCGATGCTGGCTGGTACAGTCTGCATGTACTCCTTCAGAGCAAACTGTTCGTCTTCTCCGTCTTTTGCAAGCTCTGACCTCAACGTACGGAATTCTATGTCACTGAGATTGCTTCAAATGATGGCAAACGATAGATCAGTCACAATCCTGCACCCCTTTCCGAATGAAGATTCGTTATTCGACGGTATCGGAGACTTGCAGGACGCGTTTCCTTTCCTTGCACCAATCAGTTCGCAGTAGCTCAGACAGTCGAAGGCATACCCCCGGAGCAGAAATGGCCGAGCCGCGGGGTTTCCCCAGCGGGGCGATTGCCACTCTCCGGAGCCCTCCCATTTTGTGCTCCGGAGACCTCCCATTTGTGCTCCGGAGACCTCCCATTTGTGCTCCGGAGCCCTGCCATTTTCTGCTCCGGAGGTGTCCCAAATCTGGCGTACCTCCCAAGCGCAAATCTCTGCTCCGGGGCTCTCCCAAATCTGGCGTACTTCCGGAGCAGAGATTTGCGCGTCCCGGAGAGGGGTCCCATTCGCCTGCTTGTGACGTCACCGTGACCTACAAGAAGGGACCGCCTCTCGCCCCGCTCTCAATGGTCAATTGGGTCCTCCGGGGCCAGGGGTCGGCACGAGGTGGCTTACAAGCAAGCTGGGTTTTTGGGACGAAAAGCAAAGGGGGTTTCGTTTTTGTGACCGAAGACACACGCAAAATTGGCGATTTGGCGACGTTTTTTTTTAGTCGACGTTTCGTTTTTTGGAGGATTTTTAGGGAATATGGTGGGGGGACAAAGGGGACTTCGTAAAAATACCCAAAAGTCAAGGGGGACTTCGTTTTTTGCATTTTCATCTAGCCACCTCGTGCCGAGCCCTGTCCGGGGCTCTGCCAGATTTCGACTGTCCTCCGGAGCTACGGCACCGACTGTCTGAGAGGTATCATATGCAGGATGGTGGATGAAACTGATCTGAGAGCTTGTATCTGTGCTCCTCGTGGAATGTTTCAAGTGCTTATCAATTGTTAAGTGCACTCCGAACGCCTCATTTGCTCGGTCGCACATCTAACGAGCAAGAATGAGCTTGTCGGTAGGCTCACGACCGGCTAAATTACCTAAGGATGGAAAATTTCTTCTTTTGAGTTCCCTTCCACGTTAGTTTGGAGTTTCTTTGCACCAGTTGGTGTCCCGCATTGCTAAGAGAAGCATCATGCGTCGTCTCCTTCATAATGCTGCTCAGGACTTAGATCTCGGATTTCAATCTATATCTTATATTCACGCTTATTCTACGTTTCTTCTTTGACATCGCCTATGTAGTTACTTCCGCAGTTAGTTCGCATTGTTGCCTGCTTTGATCAACACACACGCACACTCCTTTGGGTCTTTCAGAGTGGTGGGCATGTATTGAAACGGAATGTTGAACCAAACCAACACAACCAAGCACTTTATCGGCAATACCTCAGACTTGGGTAATTGAACTCATGTGACAAAGAACTTCATAGCACACTATAACGATGAAATATCAATACCAAATTCTGCTACACTAGTAAGTGATGTGATTAAACTGTTTCAAGCGCACTTCCAAAATTGAACTTCAGTAAAATGAACTATCTAAGGTTTGGGCACTTACAAAAGGCGCACTAGAAGCTTGGTCCTGAGATGTTTTATTCCAGCGCACAAAGAGCTAAGCTTTTGATTTTACGGCAACATGGAAAAGGCGTTTATTCAAAACTACACAGAGGCGCAACTGTCTACCGAGGGAATGAATAAGAGGAAATTCTTCAAAGAATCACACCCTATAATGGCTTTGAGGTTGTCGATCTGATCTTGCTCCAACCATCGCTTTACGTTGTTTGCTTGTCGATGGGGAATTCGTTGAATTCTGTAAAAGATCAGCTTAGACGATAATACAGCTTAGGAGGAGACTGTAACTTGCAGCTCGCGCTTCGCAGCCGCGATAGGTATTGAAGCTACCTCCAAGTATCAGCAATTCTCCAGTTTGTGTGCATGAGAGTTGCTGCCGCTAAAGCGACTTTGAAGTGTAGGAAACTAGGAATAAATCTATTGTATATATATTGTTTTGTTTGTGTTTTTACTGTTTGTTTCGATAAACTCTTTAATGTAGGACCATTATCCCGCAATGGAAGAAGTCGGCCAGACAAGTGAACAAGTCAGTCTCCCCATCAGTATATCATTCCCTTGACTTCAGAACCTTATTCGGTAGAGCTCATTAACATATCAGTTGATAATGATTACATATACAGTCAACAATGATCGGATATATAATAGATACTGATGGGTGAGTTAGGTCAAAAAAGTCTTCTACAAGTTCTTCCTACAAGTTGGGGGGGGGGGAAATCTGAGGACCAAAGTTCTCCCGAAGAAGCACCACAAGTTCGGTAGGGCTCTACTCTCAATAGTGTGTCGACTGGTATTTTATATTAATAAAGATTTTGGTTACCTTGAGGTAGCACACAGTTCGATTGAGACCCGCGTGGCAACATACACTTCTCGAGCTCTATAAATTTTCTACAGTTGCTTTTCTGTGGTGTGTGGGTATGTTGACAGCATAAATGGCTGTAGCTCAAAAAACTAAGATATGACATTCCGTGTTACTGTTAGATGTTCGATCTGCAAATACTCTGTTTTGAACCGTGCATTCGGTCCAAATATAACTATAAGTAGAATTACACTGATCTATAAGGCTGCAAGAAAGCTCCAGGTTTTTTGCGATTTTTTTTCAAAATGTTTGAGTTCAAGGAGGTTAATCCTTTTTGATCCTTTCTAAGAGTTGCTGCAAAGGCGATGTTTATTCTATTGGGTCCTCAGTACTTCATTTCGGGCTGGGGTAGTTATGTAGAATTCTGTTGGGGCTATTCATAAACTGTGTCACATTTTCGAATCATAGCCTGCAGAAATTTCTTCTCGAAAAAGGTGAGAAATCGGCTATTTTTACACCCTTAAAATGCCCCATTTTTGAAAAGATAAATGCGAAATCTTCCTTTTTCCACAGAATGATTGAAATCTTTGAATGCTGCAAATATTGTTAGGGTGACCTTGCACATCTTTTGGACGCGTAACGATCCTCCAAAATCGCCAACTGCGAAAACAGGTACAATCAAAAGCAACTTTGAGAGCTTGTAATTCTTGTCCGCGTATTGTAAAATCCGCACAGCTGCGGTTTTGAAGTGGAAAGTTTCCTTACTCAGACTGGCCAACCCTTGGTGGTTTTCTTACTTCAAAAAATGGCAGCAAAAAGAAAAATTGTAAAAATTGTCGTTGCACCGACTTCTCTTTTTGGTGTGTAAGTCAAGTGCTCGACGTCGATAAGAAGTAGATGCGACTCTGAAAAGCTAGGCTTTCTATAGAATATTTTTCAGTAAGATTTAATCGAGTGCGAAAAAATGAGTCTGAAAATGAAATTTCTAAGATTGCCCGAGAACTTTATTTACAATCTAATACAATGTAACTAATACCACTCTACTAAGTATCACCTACTTTCATTGCTTTAATATATTAGGTCGTTTCAAAAGTAATTTCGCTTTTTTCAAACGGACACCACATTTGACGGAACAAAGGTTTCTAAGAGATCTTGGAAGCCTTCGACTCAGAATTTCATTCTCTTTCTAATTGTTATGAAATTGTTGCAAAATAGTCAATGAACTTTCAGAAAATAACCGAAATCTGCGACCCATGCTTTTGGAGATGGTTAAGTTCCAGAATTTTTTAAAACTTCCGTATCAATCCTCAGAAGGATTTCAAGTAAATTCTATAGAGTAACCTTTACAGAATACAAAACTACTTTTTTCTCTTTCTTGTAACTCGCCGTAATTTTTTGAAAGATTTTTTAACAGAAACATCGGATTTTGGCAGGCCCACCTCAGCCACAATCACATGAAACATCATAATTTTTCGGAATTTGAAACTACCAAGATGGTATAATGAGTTAGCATTAATTTTACAAAGCAAGTGAGGGCTTACGGGTTCCAAATATTCAATTTCGAGTTTTTCGGGTACAGCCTGGGGCTCGCCAAAAAAATGAGATATGATGTCATAAGCAAGTTCTGAAGCAGATAACACTGCTGTCGGTGATACACTCGGTGGGTAGATTTCTACGCCCAGCCTCTCGATCTTCATCCTAGACGAATCGAGTACGCAGATGGGAGGAGGGCTTGGCAGCAAGTAGAGTGATATCAACGTGACTGACACCTTTCCAGGCCTCTGTAGACGGTGTGTAACCGAAACGTCAGGCAATAAAGTGTGTCATCGTTAAAAACCTGTACGGCACAGAAAATCAAGTGAAGTTGAGATATGA